TATAGCGAAAAATCGATATCATAATAATATATATACACATATACACTCCTACCAATGACTAATGTCGTAAGTGGTGACTAATGCACACAAACACTGCCATGTAGTGGAAGAAGTTTGAAATTACATTCTGCTATATTTACATCTCTATCCAACATGATGGCGTTCTCTAATTGAAGGATCTGATGTAATGGAACATAATTTGACAGGAGAAATTCAGCCAGAAAATATCTCTGATCATGATGTAATTCTTGTAAACAGAGGATTCATCATACTGTACCAAGTATAAGACATTGGATAAAAAACAACTCCAGGTATATTTTTAGTTTGGGAAAAATGAAAGCTCAAAAAATACTTTTGTACACAACAGACCTGGATTTGTTTTTAGATCCATCCTTGCTAATATCATAAACTTCTGGCACACACATGTAACTGTCTAGGACCACTATGATGTCACGCTCAGGGCAGTTTTCTGCATAAAAAAATAAAGTAAAAAAAGTAGAGGCCATAAAATAGTTTTAGCAATTTCTCAAGTGAAATTATGTTTTATGCAAATCACATTAATGGGTTTGTAGATGGTAAATTTAAAATTTGAAGAAAATTCCACTCTGGTGATACCATAAGGAAAGAATTTTGCTTTGAATTTTCTACCTTACTCAAGATTTTATCTTGAAATAAAGCATCATATTTATTTTTACTTTATACTTGCTGCGCATTGGACAATCCAGGCTGACTGACTTGGAGTGATGGTGTTACTTAGTTCATGGATAGATGGTATAGTGAGGATCAGTGGGGGGTGGCACAGAAGGGAGAGGTCATTGTGGACAGCGAGATCAAAGTGCACAGATCAGAGAGGACGTCCAGAACAACCTTATCCCGGTCGGCCATGGTCGGCCCAGTAAACAGAGACACTGCTTCATACATACTACATGCAGCCGCAGAAGCACATATAGCCATCAGCTTATCAGCTCCCCTTAGGACAAATCCGTAAACAGAACCCCGTCTTCACATGTTTCCAGAGTACTCTATACATTTGTGGCTTTAGTGACTCGCACACAGCACAGAGGGAGCTTCTGGATCGATACATGTTAAGGTTGTTTGTTTCCAGGGACGCTTGTAGAATTGAAATCTTCAACAAATGTTCTTATCAACTTGAGCCTATTCTAAAAAGCATGCGGTTAATAGGCCTGTCACAGAACAGGATGATGGATGATATATATCTTCAGAGATATACTGCACAAAATAATATTTAAAGGACTTTGTGTCAGTGACAAAATGTCATTGTACCAGGAGAATCCCAGTACACCACTGTTAACCCTAACTTTATCCAAAAAAGAAGCAGAATTAAGCTTGATTAAGATTGAGCCCTAAAATATATTGTTCCAGCTGTCAATTGTTGAACAATAAGTCATTAGTAAAAGACAGGCCTAAAAATCCTCATTGTTATGAAACCTACAGACAGGTTTCTGAAGTAAAAAAAAAAATATAAACTGTGTATCACCATGGATTTCATTACTTCAACAAATGCCAATAATAAAGTGCAATCTATAAAATGCAAGATTCAAGAAATATCATAGTTGGATCTGACCCAAGCTCACATGAATAATGTCCATCTTAATTTTGCTATGTTTGTACTGGTTATTAAAGTTTAAGATAATTCATTATAATCCAATATATAAAGTATTTTTTTACTGTAATAAACTGCACATTTTTGACATCGTAACATTAATGAGCTGATTTCCAATGCCATTGAACACATTGTCTCAGAGCACCATGTGGTGGTTGTTCATTAATTTATTTGCTCCTTCAGCCTTGTTCCCTGCAGTCCTGTCATTCCCTCTGGAAAATATTGTTTCATTTCCGACTTAATGTTCCACACTTTTTTAACGCCATTATCCATTGGGCCTTGCACCAGCCAGCACTGAAAGGTCCAGAAATACAGATAACCTTTTTCTTAAAGAGATAAGAAAAGTTTTTATAAACACTGCTAACTATGAAACTCTTTTACACATGTAGGTTAATTAGTATAAGAAATATAGACAAATTCCTGATCTTTCAACATGCACTCTTCAATCAAACGCTGAGTTCCTGACTATTGTGTCCCCTGTTGCAATGTTATCAACTTCAAGGGGAAGAAAAATGAAAGGTGAACGAGATCCTTTCTGTTTATCTATTCTTCAATGTGTCCAGCTGGTCAATTCCCAGAGAAAGGCAGTGCCGAAGCTCACCATCATTCATATCTCCTGTCAGACACTGTAGGACTAATGATGAAAAATGGCCATCTTGGAAGCGAACAGCGGGGCAGAGTTCAAAGAGAGTAGAGAGCAATAGATTCTCCCCATTTAAAAATAACAAAATATGAAGTAGAAATACACAATGATTACTGATTAACAATGTGACCTTTTTTTTTTTTTATAAGAAGCATTTAGGACCCTATTTTTACCCTCCATTCTTTCTTATCCAAATATGTCTGTATCGCTATATCCCTGTAGAGCAAAAAGTCCATTAATTCAAAAATATTCATTAGCTTGCGGCCCTCTGCAATAGCTTAAAAGAGGACAACTACCATTTAAGTAGTAAAGAGGTTGTGTGGTTCTATGCCGTACCCAGATTAGCTCTAAGATAATGACAAAGATATAGATTTATTTATTTGGAGGATAAGCCCCTTGAGATGAATCCTCTCGTTTCCGAAAGGGGTTCTACAGAGATATAGATCTGCAAAAATATGTCAATGCATTAATGAGATGAACGTTTTCAGCCATGGTTTTTAGTTTATAATATGTAATTCAAAGAAAAAACCAAGACAGCAAGGTAAAGCGCTTGGATGTGTCATGCCATGTAAGTAACATTGGTGCTGTTAAAGATTATTTTGATTATTGATTAATTGGTGATCACCATTTGATTAATCGATTTGTTTAAGGATCACGGCTGTAAATATGGGATTTTCAAATAGATTCAACAAACAGACCACTTATGCGGTTGTTTAATATAAATGTTATTGCATTTGATTTTTTATAGTAATTACAGCTATCTTAGGAGTTGTATAACTTATTTACAGCATGCTTACATCTTAGTGTTGTTCAAAAATGATTACTCAATTACTATAACTGTTTAAATAATCCATTAATTGTGCTTAATTTTACGTGTTAGAAGCCCTAAATAGGGACGACAGTAGCTCAGTTGGTAGAGCATTGGCCTTCAGGCCTGAAGGTCGTGGGTTCAATTCCCACCTCTGCACCTTCTCCGTTGTGACCTTGGGCAAGACACTTAACCCCACTTTGCCCAAAGTGGTCAGTGAGGGGCTAGTGCTATGAGACTTGGGTGGCATCTCTGATCCCTGACCCAGAAATGGATTAAAGGGTAGAAAATGGATGGATGGATGGAGAAGCCCTAAATATTAGTAGTTTTGATTAGAGTATTCATTCATTGTATACGTCACCCTTTGACCAGCAACACATTGTTGACACATTTTACATATTTTTTTACCGATGAGGATAAAAAATAATTCAGACTTATACAGCACTGCATTGTGTCGTAAGATTCATTTTTAACTATTTTCCCTCTTTATCTATTATTAGCAGAATTTCCTCCCCCTCGCTCTTATAATCCCTAGAGGCCAGACAGTGCTCCCATGATGCCCCTGCCCTCAGATTGCACAGAGGTCATGGCTGCTGCGTTGGACCACTTCATTAGGGAAAGACGCAGGAGACGGTCAGCTTTAGGCAAGGGGGAGCAGTAGACACCCCGATCACCGCACACGAACAAAAAACGCCAGAACAAAAACAATGACGTCTCACATAGTCAATTATGCTGAAAACATTCTGTTCTCTTGGAAAAAAAAATTACACAACCATTTCCACCCCCCCAAAAGATGGCAAATATTTAGACTATTTAGACAACAGCAAGGGACAAGGCTATTAATCACTCGTTAGTGAAAACACAAGCAGTAATTATCATCATCAGTTGGATGAGCGTGTGAGCTCAAGCGACAGGGAGAGTGCTCGTTGGGGGGATGCTCCTCGTCCCTAGACAGATTAGGGGTCCAGGCAAGCTTCATATTTGTCTAGTGTACTGTCGTCTGCTAGGACTCATCCGATTACTAGGCCACCCTCACTCAGCACTCATTCAAAAACACACACACATTCTTAAAACAAAGGCCATACATTCATATACAAGCTCAAGTGAAAGCTATGCAAATGTGAAGAGACAATTATATTCCCACCACCCACATAAACATCAATGTGATGCACTGTCTTCTCCTGCGGTTTGTGAACGCCACAGACACAAAGAGACTCTAATCCTTACATAATCCCCTTCTGCTACCAAACACCAAACTCTGGTCATATCCACTCTCTCCCACACAAACACAGTAAGAGTTATCCAAAACTACTACTTTTCTTAAGAGATGCACAAACAAAATATAAATTCAAAACAGACTTTGGAAAAGATTTAAACTTAGTCTCACAATAGGAATTATACCAGCAACCAACTTCTCCTGCATCTTATACTTTTTATTCCCACAGTGAAAAGTACACCTGCCAAAACCTGATACAATGCCTTAAGTGATGACTTTCTTTAACTGTAACAGCACAGGCCAGTTTATCCAAATACAAAAACCAACAGAGACATCTAGTGGTAAGTGTGCATATCTGCTCAGACTTTTTCCTCTATATCTAAAGTTGATCTGAACAGTAGTAACAAGTAGAGTAATAGTGCCAACCGACGCAGGGGTTGGTTAATACTGTAATTGGAAACCTCTGGGAACACCAGGTGCCAATTTTGTTGTGTTCTTAAGACAAGTAAGTGTGTGGTGTGTATGGTGGTCAGATTAGTTAGTAACCCCAGCAGTAATTTATCACCAGTGTGCAGTAAATAAATAATGCCACATGAAGCATCTTTGGGTGTAAAAAGCCCAATAGAAGATATATTACTTTATACATTGTTATTAGTTGTATAATAAAACGCACTGACAGTACAGTACTATTTGGATGATGCATACTCACCAAGTTTGTATGTTAGCACATACAGAATGGTCCAGGGGGTACCAGGTACAGCCATCAGCTTTTTCCACACTCTCCATGGCTTTGTGACTTCTGCTGCTCTCTTGCTGCCATCTGCTGGTTGCCCCTTTACAGTCTCTTCATCCAGTACAGGGGTTCCCAATACGAACAGAGCCACACCTGCATAGACAAACATGAGCAGCACAAACATCCAACCCCATCCTGCGACATCGATGACTGCCAGCAGGCCACCTCCGGCGAACACAGAGCCAGCCTTGTAGCCAACCACTTGGGCTGTGTTCCCAAGACCAAGCTCCCCACGACCTTTAAGCAGGCTCACGGCCGCCCCATCCACAGCTATATCCTGCACTGAGGCAAAACTGTTCATGGCCAGTAGTGTTGCGGCTACTCCCCACATGTGCGCCTCTGGGGCCAAGGCAGCACTGGAGGCACATGTGAGAGCGAGGCCAGACACTGTCCCAACAATCCAGCGGCGTTTTGTTCCAACACGGTCTATAAGAGGAGCCCAAAGTACCTTCAGAACCCAGGGGAAGTAAAGAATTTTGGTAAAGCCGATGCGGGTGAGAGAATGACCTGCTCCTCGCAGGTAAATAGGAAGTAGTGAAGACTGGAGGCCATAAGGGATGCCCTGTACAAAGTACAAGAGGCCCAAGAAGACCAGCTTGTCATTCATGATGTCTGCAGTGAGATGACCCAGTGGGAGCCAGTGAGGAGTGAGGGATCATGTCATTGTCCAGGCTGTGCTGGTGTACTTCATGTACACCTCTTGATCCAGATTCCGCAACACTGCACTCTGTCCTGAAATACACATGAATGTTCAGTCAGTCTACAGTCAGACACGGCCAGTGTAACCTTGCTGAGAGGATGTGACTCCTGCAGGATGGCTGCTTTATTGCCCCAGCTAAGTTACATCTATGGAGCTAATATTAGCAACGCCACACTACAGCACTAACATACAAACCACATGAAGGAGAAAATGTAAGTGTTGTACATCTATATTTGAATACAGCCGCTGATCAATTCAACACACGCCAAACACTCCCAAGTTTAGTTGTCAATGAATAATTAGCTTGTTATGTTAGCCACTAGCCTAGGCTAAACAAAAACAAAGCAAGCTGTTAAAACAGTGTAGCCGTGTTGGCATTAGCAAAGGTTTATAAAAGCACATCTTATCTGTTTGAAGAAACACTGACATTCAGCAGAAAAGTTTACTGAGGCGTTTAAACAACCAGACAGCATAGCATAACACAACATGCTTTCACCTCCGCTCGTGCAGCACTGCGCTGGTTGCCAGATCGGAATGACACTTTTCAGACCCAGGGATGTAAGTACGGCTTCACGTGTTCGGGTCAAATTAGACCGATTTGCGCTTTTAAACACTCAGAATTGTTTATATTACATCTCCTTGCCCCAAGACTTTATGATATCCTCCACACTGTGCACCTGAACATACGAAAGAGATGAGAATCACTTTACTTGAATTTTGAGTGTTTTAGTGAACCTTGTTACATCTGTACTGTTCCGGTCGCAAGTGACCACCATAGGAAATGTATGTGTAATCAGATTATATTTATCCACACAACACACACACAGCGCAGAAACACACACACACACACACACACACACACACACACACACACACACACACACAACACATACAACGCATACATACACACACACAACACATACATACACACACACACTTTGAAATTGTATGTGACAATTTCTGTGTCTTTTCAGTGTCTATTCACTGCAGTTATTCATGTACACTAGTGGTCTTAGATATGTTTACAGCCTAAGGGTAGTTGAATACACTTTGGTCATGATCAACGATCTTCTTTCCTTTTGCTTGAACACATTTAGCTAAATTTCGTTCATTGTCCCAAAACTCTACACACAAGAGAACCTGACACACACTGGGACATAAACCATTCACATCTGTTTCAAAACTCCTTTATCAAAACTCAAACTCTGCTCTCAAAATTAAACAATCTTTTGTCAAAATGAAACTCTTGCATCATGTGAACACACTTTCAGATTGGAAGCAACACACTACTGTACAGTACTGTACTGTAGTGTACTGTTTTGTTCTGTGAAGCTCAATGGAACTGATATTGTTCTCAACAAAAGCTTATCAACAACCAGGAAGTACTGAAAGTTTACAAATAATATAAACTCTGTACATCACCCTACTAAAGTATACTTTACTGCATTTGTGTCAATGCAGTACACAACAAACCTCCAATGTAAAACTAGGCATTTGTGCGTGTGGATTATGGATCATAGTCCCTGCTCGGACTGTCTCCGCAAAGACCAGTTCCTGCTGTTGGTGAACAGCTGTGGAGCACCTCGAGAAGGTCTTCTAGTCATTCTGTAGAAATATGCAACAACAGTTTTTTACTAAATATTTAGTTCTTTATTACAATACTGCATACTGTACACAGTACTGTGACATCTTAATGGTACATTACTTTGTACTTTACTGTATTGTATTTTTCACAAATCTACCATTTTTTAAAAGGAGCAATAGCCAACTTGCAATACTTTACATGTGATACGGTAAAGTATAGTAAATACTGTAAATACAGTCTGCAGTAGAGAGTTACAGTACATGTTGGAGACATGTTTCCATCTGAAGGTCCGGATGATGGAGGTGTGGCTGGACTCTGCTTCCCTCAGGGTGAGGCCATGGTTTGTCACATGATCCACGTCTCCTCTCTCCTTGTCTTCCTATTCCTCCACCTCTGCTTCGATACTTGCAAAGTTCTGAAAATGGCTAAACTGAGGTTTGTTTATGTCTGATGTGTGTAGTGTGTAAGTCAGTGTTTTCATGTGTGTGTCTCAGGGTTTTTTCTATCACACAAGGTGTTTGAATAGATGTGTTTTCCCAATGATAACACAGGATTGCATTTAAGAACAAAGAGTCTTATGTATGACAGTGTGTAGTGAGCAGGAGAAAGTGTATTGCAGAAAGAGAAAGTGTGTTGCAGAAGGAGAAAGTGTGTTGCAGAAGCAGAAAGTGTGTTGCTGAATGAGAGAGTGTGTTGCAGAAATAAAGCGCAAAGCAGTACTTTTGGGTCTTTTGGTCTAAGCATGTGCAGTTAAAACAGGCCGGTCAAATTTGACCGGGAACACCAAATTAAGGGGCGATAAACGAACACGAATAAAGGTTAAGCTTCACTAGTATATGTAACCATATACTGTATATAGTAAGCAAGAAAGTAATTTTATATATATATATATATATATATATACACACTGTATATATACCCATACATATCTATCATCTGATGAGATGTGTGTGCGTCAAATTACATATTGCCAATGATCTTTTTATACTATAATGTCCATAATAATGCCTCCTGGATGAACCACGAACACATTCTTTTATTTATAGAAAACAATCATCTAACAAATATATTATGTGACACAGATCGATTGCACCCTCTTAGTTCTTCAAAAGTTTCAATATTTCAAAAAGGCAGGTGAATTATATTTAAATTTTTTAACAAACACATACAAATCTATAAGCCCATAAATGGTCTGTTACTAAAGCACTCACCTTTTATTACATTACATTATATTAGAAACACTAAAGGAAAAGTGTTCATTGTAGTTGAGCTACAATTCATCTTGACGTTTGACATACAAAAATATAGGCTATATGTGAGGTCACAATGGCATTGGTGGAAAATTGATTCCAAGAGCTTTTTGCCTGAGAGAGATGAAGTTGTTATATTGTGATTGGCAGTGATACTACAGCTTCATCACAAGAGAAGAAACAGTGCAACATGAAGAAGTTGATTTTCGATCTTTAAAGATGCATTTTGCTATATTTCTGTTGCCGTATCTGCCCCCAGGTGACATGGAAGAATGCATCATCTTCCTATGCTGTTTTCAGCAATGAAATCTCCTGTAATTGAATTTTTAAAAAATAGATACGTTTAATTGAAAGATATGTGTTGTATGTTGTATGATTATGATTGTTAGATGTTTTTCACACACTGAGCTGGTGACTCACAAGAATCATCTTATTCAGGGGGCTTGGTCAGACCAACAGAAAGACCGACAATTAGAGCAACAATGGCAATCAGGATCAATAGGACAAATGCAAGGATGATCATTTTCTGTGGAATAAAAACAAAATATATTAATTATTTCTATTTCAGTTATAGTTATTATTTTCCAAAGGTGTAAGTGTTTCTTTGATCATATATGCATTTGATAGCGTAAACTCACCCTCCTGGACCTCTTCTGATATCTCACAGCTTTTTTCGTCTCCTCTTTTGCACTACAAATGTATTCCGCTGCATTGGCAACATTCCTTTCAATAATATTCACCATCTCCCCCTATGAAGAAATGAATATACAGAAAAATGATCAACTCTCCACTTAAACATAATGGTGTATTCTCAAAAACATCATACTTGAGTCTCTACAAGCATGGCCATGTCCATAAACATAGTGTGAAGCTCTCTGATGCTTGTCTCCAATCGCATTATGTCCTGATGTCGGGATTCGATTTCATTTAAGGCCTCGTGAGTTAATTGTAAATCCATGATGATCTGGTGAAATGACAAGTGTGGAAAAACGTTGCTACGAAACATGTTATTTCTGCACTAGATCTAAAACTTACATCTGATGTGAATATTGTTGGATTTCCACTTTCCAACATCTCCTCCAGTTCTTCATTGGTGGTCACTCTCCCAGCTGGAATTACAAAATGAATGAGAACGGATTTGTAATGTAGTTGTCATGGTGTGGATTTTATTTTTGTATTTTTGTTTGATTTTGAAATTGGTTTTCTGTGGTTTGGTTTTAGTTGCTTCCTGTCTTGTTCCCCAGTCTTGATTGTCTGCCCCGCCCTGATATGTACCCTGTGCTTCTCGCCCCTTGTTGCTAGTCCATTGTATTGTCAACTTCTGTTCTGTCCTGTTCCTGATTTTGTGTTCCTGGTTCTGTATTTTGGATTTTGAGTTTTGTTTTCACCTGGACATTTGTTTTATTAAATCATTATATGTTTTGCATTCCTGCATTTTGGGTCCTCTATCATTTCATCACGTGACAGAAATGATTGAGGACCCAAAATGCAGGAATGCAAAAAATATAATGATTTAATAAAACAAATGTCCAGGTGAAAACAAAACTCAAAATCCAAAATACAGAACCAGGAACACAAAATCAGGAACAGGACAAAACAGAAGTTGACAATACAATGGGCTAGCAACAAGGGGAGAGAAGCACAGGGTACATATAGACACAGACACAGACGCAGACAATCAAGACTGGGGAACAAGACAGGAAGCAACTAAAACCAAACCAAACAAAAATACAAAAATAAAATCCACACCATGACAGTATTATAATTCAACACACACAAACACACACACCGGCTCGAAAATTCCTGCTCTGTGCTGAGGGCATCACTCTCCTGTCTCCACATAGTTCTCACAACTTCTGTAATTTATTAATATGGTTTGAACATTTACTTTTTTTCTGATAAAGAGACATACTGTGGTTTTAAAGTAGTTTTAGATTTAGACAAATACAGGGAGCAAAAAAATCAGAATTGGAACATATTGTCATTAGTTAGGTTGTACCCATCTCAACTAATGACAAAGATACAAAATGCAACTTTACTAATTCGAAACAAAAAATAAACTCTTATAACCCTCTCCAAGGTAATATGTATTATATATGTATGTTATATTTATCTTTATTAAAATATGAATGATAAGAATGCAAAATGTATACAACTTGCTGGCACCTTGAGCCGAAGAAAATTAATTTGTGACTTCCAGTTACTTACAATGGAAATAAAACATTATAAAAAAAAAAAATCTCATTCTGAAGTATTATTTGATTAGCCAGCAGAACAAACAGCAAAGAAAGCAACCCATTTCTACCATCAAATTCAAACTAATATAATACAATACTATTTAAATTAATTATTTTTGTATTTTTGTAATTTTCTTTCTCACAGTACCCATTATGGCACATCCCCTTTAAACCCATTCACCCAGGCTCCTGAGCCAAATATTTACACACAACCACAGAACAATGTGAGCTACAGAGCAAAGCTTAAGTCAAAGAAAAATGGCAGCTTAAAATCTATAAACAGAAGTCTTTCTCTTCCCCCTCCTTCTGCCCTCTCCAGAGACAGATCTGCAGGTGCTGCCACACTCCCTCTTTCGTTTATTCCTTAGTGACGCTGAGCCAAACACATAAAAACACTACGCCAGATAAATATGGTCAGAATAATACTACAAGAGACACCTACATTTTAAAATCCTATATGTACATGCATATCAAGCGGACATAATGCTCTTCAGTCTCAAATGAACTGGTGAAAAGCAGGTGAATAGTGTTACTGTCGCCGGGGCAACACAAACAGAGCCAGGCGTCTCTGGTATCAGCTGCGACTGGGACACAGAGAATGCTCTATACCAGTTTGCCCCTGCTTTGATTGTGCTATTTTTAAAGATTTACAAATGGAATTTCTTCTTGATTTGAAGCTTCTGTGTTGTTTCCTAACCCTCCTATTCATATAACATATTTAGGAGTTAATCATAACAAATATAGGGTTTAAATTGGGGATATCAATGAATCCAGGTTTAGATTAACCCTCATCAGCAGTGTTTTAAGATATTCGATGTGAAAAGACAGGTAAAGCTGAAATTTAAAACATAAAAGAAAAGAAAATTGTGTGAGAAACATTTGGGGAATACTTGTGGGAAGCCAGAGAGTTGTGTATAGGAGCTCATTCTATTCTTTGGCCCCTCAAGGGTTCACTTGTCAAATAGGTTTAGGTCCTGCCAGATAGAGATACATATGACAAAAGTGTGGCCCATGTTCTATAATGTCTGACTTACTTATCTCCAGCTGCCTCTGTATCCTTCCTTTGCTCCGCTCCCTGAAGGATACCTGTGTCTCGTTGTACTGGGTCATCACCTCCACAAACTTTCTGGACAGAACCGTGTGCTGAGGAGAAACCAAGTCACTTCTTTATACTTTATGACGAATATTGCTTAAATTATAAAATGAATAGTCAAACATTGCAATGGGACCGGTCTGACCTGTGTCTTTTGGATTCTGAAATCAACAGAGGACCTGTTTGCGCCATCATCTTTGGGCATACTTTGCTCCATAACTTTAAGATCAGAGAATAGAGACATATGTGCTTGAGAAAACGGTCAGAGCCATATTACAGCGCGCTAAACAGTTTTTTACATGTCACTTACTTTTGAGTTTTGTTCGGACAATGTTTGCGTTGCCTTTGATGTCATTGGTCAGTGCAGCCAAATGGTCCTTTGTCCCTGTGGGCCGACAGGTACAGGAAATGCATTTTCTGAAAGAATATTAGTATACATGCATCTATCACAATGACCCCATGCACCTGACTACAGTCAATATTGATTCAAGCGTCCATCAACATCATGTTCCACCTCTTTAGATTTATCCTAGTGTAAAGAACAAAGCCTCTTATAACATAACACAGTCTGGGAGCCTGATGCCACTGAATGAATGGCAGATCAGCTCTAACTAATCCAAAAAAGGAATACATTCTTTTTCAACATGTAATAATTTAAAATATATTATAGCCCCAGATAAATGATAAACTTACTGTCATCTGGATTGGGAGCAGATAAGATGGTGCTGTGGATGATCCTCACCTCTTCCACTTGACAGGAAATTTTATCAATAAGCCCTCTAACCTCCTCCACCTGAAGCCATTGTCGAAACACAAAATAAGTTTATGTGTTTATTTCCATGTTATGCTTAGATAACAATCAAGGAACTTATTACCCGTCTGAAAAAGCTCTCCATGAATCCATCTCTGTCCACCGCGACCGCCTCCTCGTCTATCTGCGTGGTGTTCTGCTCGGGGAAAAACTACTAATAGTTTGGACATAATTATATACAGGTTAAAAAGTTGCAATAGAATACTTACAGCGGCCAATTCAGCAAGTCGATCCTTCATCACGTCTCTTATCTCCGCAAATTCTGCTAAAATATCAGGTCAGGGAAGAAGTCTCCAAACGTGGTGCGCCATTGTAGCACTTGTATACTGATGAATGAGCTGTCCCTTACACATATATTGAGTTGAAATAAAGGAAATAAAGTCTAATGCGGTGGTAATTTAAATATTTCGGTGTTGCGGTGACACAGGCCGCACCTACAAACGGGAAAGAGGAGATGCATAAATAGTTACCGGGATACGCCTCTTCTTCCTTGTCTGCTTCACCCATGGGAAAACACCTTTTCATCCAAGACAAATAAACAACAACAAACTCCTGATGTACACCTGCAGGAATATATGACATAAAAAGGTAGTTTACGTATTGATGCTCCGTAATTTATCATTAGAGGCTTGGTATGGGCCTATGTTGGATGCTATTGCTTTTCTTTTCTCATAAAATACATCAGACGCCTCCAGCTCAGTAGTGGATGTCGATGCGCAGTGGTGGCCGCATAGGGGCGCTGTTCACTCAGAAAAAAGGGCATTTTATTATTTGTTTTCTATTTCTCTTTTGTATTGATCCCTGACCTGTGATCATCCGTGACATCACTGCACACAGTTGCATGAAGACAAAGAGAAAGAAAGAAACACGTGGTTATTTGGTAACATAAGTATTGTGTTTATGTGTTCATTATCACTTGTCTTGTTTATTTTGCCCATTTAAGAATGGGCAATGTATTTCTTTGTTTGGGGTACAACGTTCAACCGAATGATAGCCTAATGAGTGAATTGTACATTGTTGTGTGTACAGTTGTGCATTGGCCACTTCCAAACTCCTCAAAACTTCCAAGATGCTCTTACAATACAGTCTACAGTCACAACTCTAATTGTAAACAATGTTGTTGGATAAAGTGAGAGTCCTGATCTCATTCAGACCCCGTGCAGTCTCAGTGCGCACAAAATGATGCCATTTTACGCACGGCTCTGATGCCCCTCCTCGGAGATCCAGAAAAAGTGACATCAGATTTTGCTATTCCCACGTTCAGCTGCAAGCGCTCCTCCTCAGAGAGAGCAGTGATAGAGCGTCTCTGCATTTTGTATCTAGAGCTCACAATCTGAGGGTTCAGTGGACACTCGCTTCATCATGACAGAAGGCTCTGCTGCCTAATGCTTTTGATGCTGCAAGACTCTTTTGTGTGTATATTGGTATTGTCTGAACACATGGACTCGTCCTCACTTTAACTTTTTTGGGAATAATGCATTTATCCTCCTGGATTTATCTACGTGTAGTCAGTGATTCATAAACACTATGGAGCTTCATTTGAAACTTCACATTTGTATTGCTTTCCTCTCATGTTGTAAGGTAAGTCATCTTAAATGTTGTTGTTCAACCATTCTAATGTTGTCTGTATCGGGAGTTTTAGCAGTTTTATTGCAAAGAAACAATTGAATGTTTCTCTCAACAGGTTAATGCTCAGGTGGTGCAATGGATGCAGCATCCAGGTATCTATTTGTTTGGATTGTGTACAGGTCTTAACTTTTAAAATACTTTCACTGTTGCCCAACCACTTTCCTCTTCAGTTACTCCTATATGCTTTATCATCATTCTGTGTAATCATTATTGTGAAATACAGTACAATACAAATAATTCTTTATATTATATTGCTTCAAATTAAATATTATTCCATATCCCCTGGTGTATGTGCTCCTGTGGGGTCCCTATGGTTGTGGGTGGGAATCACTGTGCTATACATTCCATACCAGTTTATTTTCCTTATGAGGCATTACAACTCTACTTATTTTATTAGAGCATCATTTATGCCATGGACATTGAATAAGAATATTAATTGTTGTAAAACTGTGAAGGCTTGCAGGTGTTGCGCAGCGCGGCACATTACTGGCCCCTCGATGATGTGAGTGGAATCCATGAGCTGTGGGACCAGATTGGGAAGAGAACAGGTTATGTTAACGGCAGCAACATAAGTATGTGCCATATCTAATCCTTTCTTTGTGTTTGTGACTGTGCACTTTCAGACAGATGAGGGCAAACAGTTGAGTCAATTTGGTTTTTAAACTTCAAACTCATGTTAAGTTAAAAATAATCCTTTGCTCAAAATACCTCTGTAATGTAAAGTGAGCTCCAAACAAACTTCCCACAATGAAAAGAAGAATGAGTTTGGTATAAAATTACAGCCTTAGAAAAAACCTTGAACAAAATGAGCATGACTGAGGGTTTGAAACACATAGAAAAGTGTGAAGTTGTTTTAAACTGTTTGAAAATGACCTCAGCTTTATTCAATCCAAGTCTTAAGCCGTGCGCTCTACTGTCTGTTCAAGCCTGCATCACCTGCCTTGAATGTTGTGGTTATTGTGGAGGGATCGGGTATGACCGGAGTCCGATGCATGTGTCCCTGTGTCTCCCACCCCTCACTCCCAGCATCAGTTCTTCTCATACCTGTGCACCATGTCCCTTCCTTGTGTCCTTTTCACTTTTCTTTGTGCCTTTTGTGCCAGTCTAGGTTCACTTAATGTTTGTGTGTTGTCCAGCTCTCAGAATCCACAACCACACTGTGCTCCCCTCCTCCCATAACTCTTCCTATGTGTACACCAATGACTCCGCATACACTAACATATCCGCGACCGTAGGTGAGCATCCGTCACTGTTGCATCATCACCTCTGGCCTCTGCTGTCATCACCGTGTGTCTTGTCCGATGTGTGCGCATTGTCATTTAAGAAAGCTGTTTACGCTGGGTATACACATGTTAACCTACTGTAAATTTAGTGGCATCGTTCAAGACTTAATACAGTATCTCTTCAAACATGCGTTGCAAAACTTCCCTGGTCTGCCTCCAGTTGTGGTCATGAAGATGTTGTTTGTTTGCTCGGGATGTATCAAAGTGTGATCTAGAAATAGTACTCGAGCTGGAAGAATGTACGGCTGTGACTAACAATTTCGACCCAATTTCATTTGTTGGTTTGTCCTTTCAATTAATCTATTAGTCGTTTACATGTAAATCCGTTAAATAATGGGTAAAATGTGACCAAAACTAGGAGACTACATGTAACATAATTAATTGTTTGATTATAAATACTTAAAAAAAATCATTTTTATGTCATTCTGTCAAAGTCATAAAACCTGCTCTACAATTTTTACAACTGTTAAAGCAGTAAAACATTGAATAGGTTAATCACAACAACAACAAAATGTCCATGACCAACAACTACTTTAATTGATTAATTGTGAACCGCTCGCAATTTATAAAGTCCAACACATTTATTGTCACTTTTTGAATGATAAAATGATCGGTTCAGCCTTGTCTGTTTTAAACTATTGTATCTGCATAATTAGTTGATTCATTCTTTCTTACCAGTTATCAGCTGGTATAACATAAAAGAGCATAGAAAGTACTGAATATATAGAAAACATATTGCCATACTTAGGAACTTTGGACCAAAGCAAAAAGCAGACCCTCGAACTGAAGTTCGTCAAAAACTTGAGGGCTACATTTTGTCCTTTTCAAAAGTGCCCCATTTATTTTTATATCCAGGGTCCTGATGGTATAATGGGCCAAAATGTTAATCTACCTCAATAATGTAGAAAGATTTGTTAATGGCATCAGAGTCCAAGTGACACGTTTCCCAATACTATCCTAGTATAAATGAATTGTTCTAGAGACAAGAAACTTAGATTGCATGTTAAGATAAATTCAGATTATATAATATTTGATAAGGTAAAATATACATGTTCCAGTATGTAATCTTCCGTATTTGTTGCAGATATTGTTGAAGGAATGGTAAACAAAGGCATCTTTTTGAATGGAGATAATGGCGGCACTTTTCTCCACTTTGGAACATTTCAGAATACCTGCATCAGTGACCCCATGCTGTGCGGTCCAGAAGGTGCGTTTTGACACATACAAAACGGTCCATGTCAATATGCAAAGGAGAAATGACACAGTCTTTGGTCATTGGGTGCAGGGATCACCTTCTCCTTTTTCTGGAAGAACCAAGAGTTGCAGGGCTCCAGGTTTGCAGTTGCGTCTGGAGGAAAAGTGATCTCCAATGGTTTCTCGGTCTACACCAATCCTTTCAGAGGTTATGTTGAGTTTTACACAAGAGGAAACAACCACAGATGGAAGGCAGATATCAAGGTGCCAGGTGAGCTCCTCGATTCTTCTCCTAATGTCCGATATGTGATGTCACTGCTGATTTGGAACAATTCATTGATCATTGTTGAAATGTGTGTTCATCAAAATCTTGTAAAAGTAGATATTTTTGCTGAACAATTCCGACCATGCTGTCTTCACATTGTACACTTGTGAGAAAGAGCCTTGTGTGCCACTATTTGATACTTTGGGCTGAGAGCTGATTGGCTGAGTGAGGGTGGTCCTTCACTTTTCTGTCCTAGAAAGCTGATCTAAAGATGTGACACAGGCCAAAATAACTAGTGATCTGTTTAGAGAGCTGGAAAAAAGTTATAAGGATATATTAGTACATTTCGGGGGGGGGGATGAAAGTTAGGTACCCCAGCTTTAAGTAAGTGAAATATTATATAACGTAATTATGGATGAAGCAAATATCTATCTAAGCCCTGAATTTTCTGATTAATGTTATATAAAACAGAAACAGCTGTGGACTGGATGGATTCATAACATAAACTAAAAAGAAATTTGAACTGTGAAGGAGTGTGACCAAAGCAAAGATGAAACTAAAACACCTGTCCTCGCTAAAACATGTCCAGACAAAATCAAATCTAACAAATAAAGCGCACAGTGAAACATTTACTGCTCAGTGCTCAGAGCGTCTCAAATATCAGGTGTAATCTGTGTTTTTGTAATGTGAAAATAAGGGTCATGTCAATGTGTCAAAGCCTGTGCTAAATCTGTGTCCGGTTTCACAAAATCATCTGGTTTTCATATGGGATTGTGACATGCCACATTTCAGGACATTACCTCAAATTCTGTCTGTCCCTATTTTGCTAAACACAAACGATGAAATGCCGTGGACAACGGTCAGTGAACAGGTCAACGATCTATTACTGACTATTTTGTTTGGATAGAGCCAATTAGAAGATTTTACTGGGACTATGTAATATATACTCTGCAATGTACATGTTTACTGTCTCCTGACCTGGCGGTGCACGTTCCATTTGCATAATGAATGACTGAAAGGAAATTGTACAAACTGTCTCAAACTAGCAATTGCTGGGAAAGTAGACAGACAATAAGTACCAAGTGTATACAGACAGAATTGTAAGTCTGTAAAAAAATGTCACAGGCAAATCTTGCTTTAAAACTGGCAATAATTACTGAACTCAAGATAACCGAATCCATGCCATCTTTGACTTTTTTGTCATTTTTTGCAGTGTACTCCAAAAAAAATACTTCAACATTGTCAAAATTAGGCTGCGTCAAATAACGGTTCACGAGGCTCGGTCTTATATGGATCCAAAAGATAACATCCAAATAAGATGAAGCAGCATGTTGTGGTCTGAATGATCACATCTATTTTCTTTTTCTGTTGGGCCAAAACAGCATGAGAAAAAGTTAGGAACCCCAGCTTTAAATTACGATGTTTGATTCAACCTTTTCTAGGGATCAAAGTTCAAAAAGATGAACAGTTTCATTCTTTCAGGGCCCTTCTGGACTCACATTCTTTTCACCTGGACCAAAGCGAAAGGTCTGGACGTATATATAAACGGGACTTTGAACGCGAGGGACAAAGACGGCATCGTCTCAGAGAACTACGGAGACCCCTATCCTGACCTGGTCATCGGCACAGGCAACGGCAAACCGCACGGCCATTATGTGACCGGTGCCTTTGATGAGTTCATTATATGGGAACGAGCACTTTCCCCTGAGGAGATCCTGCTGTACTACCACGCAGCCACAGGTAGGCCACTGCAGCTGTCCACAGAGCATTTCCTGTTGTGCTGTGAAATCTTATAATGTGAGGAAAGAGGGTTAAAAAGCCATTTCCGCACTCTCCGTTTGTAGATGATGAAGATATTGACTAATGCGCCTCCCGGTGTAACCTTTGAAGCAGCAGTGTCGTGACCTGCTCATTAGAGCTCTGGCTCGCATAGTTTGGCCTTATAAGTATTTTTGAACATGCGTGTGGGTGGTGCGGGACAGACCAGTCCTATTTTAGAGGACAATTCCTGAAGTCCATCAAGAATGTTTTATAGTGTACATAGACTATAAATATATGTGAGCGTTTTATTTGGGTGTTTCCTTTTCAGATAAACAAGTTCATTATTAAAACCTTTGATTGGAATACAACATAAAAAGACAGCAAACAACAGACATGAACCACAAAGTTTTTCTGATGTCAAATGGATACTAATACAGTTTTAAAACTGGTTAAGTAAAGTTCATTAATAATGCAAGTTTTGAAGTACTGAAAGAAGTCTTACTTAAGCTTTTATAACTTTTATATTGTATATGCAACGAGTGCACTTGTATATAGTAATAATTGTATTATTAAAATGTTATAGAAAAACATGGGGCGACAGTAGCTCAGTTGGTAGAGCATTGGCCTTCAGGCCTGAAGGTCGTGGGTTCAATTCCCACCTCTACACCTTCTCCACCGACTCCCACTGATGACTGCTGTCGTTGTGCCCTTGGGAAAGACACTTAACCCCACTTTGCCCAAAGCCCCCACTGAAAGATCAAGGCTATGCTCACACTCAGAGAGCAGCCGTCCTCCTGTGGACTCACCACCTGCAGAGGGTCAGTGAGGGGCTGGTGCTATGAGACTTGGGTGGCATCTCTGATTGCCACCCCCCTGACCCAGAAATGGATTAAAGGGTAGAAAATGGATGGATGGATGGATAGAAAAACATTTTATAGAGAAAATTGTATACATAGTTCCCACAGACCAATGAATGTCACATGACCTCCTCGGAGACGCCATCTTTGATGGCACGCTGCTGTGTTTGTGCATTCCATTAAACAGAAGAATGAGAATAAATGTAGATATTCAAACGCAAATTGGAAAAAAAAGGGCAACTTTTGAGCAAATAATTGTATATTAATACAATGGCACCACAGTTTAACGTGCTACGGACATGTTTTACATATTGGATCAAATTATGCAGCAAAAATTAACAAGCAATGCAAACATTTCTCAAAAACTTTTGATTTAATACCAGTTGGAGCTCCATTTAATTATTTTAATTATATTAACAATTAATTTAATTAATGCTAATGCCACACGGACACTCTGGATTGCTGTTATTGTTTATTTCCGCGTTTTTGACCGTATGTTTCGGTGAATGGTGGGCAACTGATTTTTCCAGGCGTAAAGAGCAGTTTATTTTATGACACAGATCTTTTTACAGAAGCAATGCTGTTTGTGAACATTGTTTTAGCCCACCATAGAACTATTATTATCTATTTAATACATTTACGTTGCCCTCGAGAGCCTCGGACACGACACCGATCCTCCTCATAATAAAGTAATCTAACGCTAAATAATGAAACTCTCAAGTTACCAGATATCAGCATACACAAGTTAGTACTGAGTAAATTACGTCTGTCAACACATTATAAGATACGATACGCACCTGACACAAAGTGCTCCGAGCATATTCTTGCGTGTTTTGAGGGAGTTTCTTGCCTGTTTATCTTCGCAAGCCATAACCTCCGTGGTTGTTCTGACAAAAGCTTAGTCTTCTCACATTCATGAAGTCTAATGATGGGTATACTGTAAAATCCAAGTTTAACGGAACCTCCGGCACGATTTGAACATCCATTGACCCAGCAGGAGATGACCATTTTCAACTTTATCACGACATTAACACGTTTCAGCTTCTTTTTCTATTGTTTTGCCCACAGCATGCCAATACAAATGGCGCCGGGTCGGCAAATCCCCGTATGTAGTGACGTCATGTGGGAACTATGTATACTTTACTATACTTTTTCTGTTCTCTACTTTTGACTTGTTTTCACTGAGAGCCATAATTTCCTAGTTTGTGACTTCCTGTTGCTTACATGGCAACATTTATTCTGATTCTGATGAGTAGTACAGTTGCCTCCACTTTTCCTCTTTGTCTGCAATGAGAACAACTTTTGAAATGATAACTCTTATCTTCGCTTTTGGCTCTAGCGAAAGCCTAATCTTCATGTTAGATCTAATAATTACTAGATTAACCTTAGCAATGAAGCAACAAACAAATTTTTTGCACTGCCTGTGTCCAATTTCAGAAGATTCAAATTACGAAAGGTACATTAAATTATCCCCATTCCGTTTTTAAAATTGCTTTCTTTCTCAAGGCCGTTTACTACCACGTCTTGGGATGCTGGAAACATTTCTTAGTTGCTTTGTTATTAAGTGTTATTTGAAATCGAATAAACATATGATGTAAGATGCATGTTTTATTGATAACTGCCTTTCACATCAGTCAATAGCACAAGCCACATCCCACTTCTTTTAGTTTAAACCAAGGGGTCACACTATGCATCTCCCCAAAAGTCGTAACCCAAAAGCAATACATCCAGCAGCCACTACCAGACGCAAATACTCTGACTGTTATGGTTACAGAAAAATATTTTTACCTCCGCAGCGCATGCATATAAAACCATTCATTGAACCAACGAGGAGCGGGACTAGATCTTCAGACAGACACACACCCATATAAGGCCATTTTAACATGACCTGCTTTCACTAAATAGCAGCAAAGACATAAAAGTGTATTTTTAACTGCGCACAGAAGCGAGTGACACTGTATTGAGTTGTGGCCTGTCTAAAGTTTTTGTGGTTGTAATCCATCTCCTTTACACCACTGGGATCGATCCAAACTTGCAAACAACTGGTCTCTTAAGCAGATAGATCGCAGGTTCATTTTTAGCCCAGTGTCTGCGTAATTTCTGCTAATAATAACTGCACCTCAAAGATTTTTATAGCCACATTAACAGCATCTATAATGGCATTTATTAGTCTGTGTTCTCTTTTAGGTCAAGACTTATTTCCTCTCACAACACCCGGCGTCTCTAAGGAAGTTGCCACAACATCGCCAGCATTAGTAAGTTTGTGCTGGTCTTTTCAAATATGTATCTGTTATTAAGCATATAAAGTTAAACAGCTATTGATCTGAAGTTAACTTTATATCAATAATGTATTATATCAATAATAGGAACATTGAGATGTTTTTGCTGGGATACTTGGAATTACTGTACAAGCTGTTCCAAATTTGATTTAAACATTGGATGATTTGAAGCTATTAATATCCTATTAAGGGAACATGAATTGTAACATTTTGGGAAATTCTCCATTAATTCATGTCCCTTTGAAATGTATGAGCAGCTTTTGGGAATATTCCTGCTCTGTTCTTGTCAGTGACAGATAGAGATGTAGACCGGAAAGTGAAGACAGCTATCTAAAACTACACACAAGAGCTCCTTTTAGAAAACTCCACACTAAATTATTTATAAAGATCCAATAGTTTCCGAAGTTGAAGTCAGAGTGAACTTCCTTTGCATGTTCTTGTCCCGCAGAGGGCCGATGAGGTGAGCGCTCCAGGGGTCCGAGACGTCCAAAGCCAAACGGAGCAGGACACCATGCCAGTGCTGGGCTTCCTCCAGGAACTGCCCAATCGCACCATTTCTCACAACACCGCCAACAACCTCACTCAGGTATCACACACAGCGAAGAGCACTGCACACAACATACAACAAGAAGCAACCATTGACATGCTATATAACCCGCAGCATAATCCATTCAATTTAAAGCTGGGGTACCTAGATTTCTGCTTTTTCTTTGTATATACTCGCATTATCACTGTATTGTATCAATGTATTTTACACTGTAAATGTGTACATATTCACAGATATGTATATTTCTGAAATATATTATTGATATCTATCTATTATTAGTAATCTGAGATGGATTACTAATAATAGATTATTCTGTTCTCACAAATTTTATCTTATTATTGTTATCATTATTTTGACATTGTTTCTTTAATGTTATTTTTTTATTGTGAAATACTATGCAAGCTACTGTGACAACGCAATATCCCTTGTGGATCAATAAAGTCGGTCTAAGTTTGATTCATAATGATAACCTTTTGTTACTGGCTGTCTTTATTTAATTAGAAATCATGTTATTGTTTACATTCTTTCAAGAGAGAGCCATTTGAGTCACTATATGGTGCTTTGGGCTAGGTACCTTCGCTTCCAACTGGACTCACAAGTCTTTCCGTTGCACTGGAGTTAAAATTATAATCAATAGTTTAGAATATTTACAGTCCTTTACATTTGGACTGACTAAAGTATGCACGCGTTCGCAATTCACACATCAAAATATACCAGACCCAGAACTAAACTCAAACTAAACCTGAACTGGATCAGGACCAGACTAGACCAACTCGGGAACTTTACTTCATACCATCCATGGACTATTTTTCATTGTGGGGACTTTTTTTTCCCCTTTTTGTTTTCTCTCGACCAGGCATTCCTCAAAAGTGTGGAAGAAGTGCTGTCCTCCCCCGGGCTGCCAGAGGTAAATGAGTTCAACATGTTATGCGATGTTTAAATCATGCCTTTTGAGTTAGGTAGATTTCCTACTATATTCTCTTCTTCTGATCGTGCGTGGCTTTTCTTTGAGATCAAACAGAAACAGATGTGCGGAAATGCAAACCAATATTCTTGGGTAAAGCAAAGATTCCGTCTCGAGTGTCAATTTAATCAGCTGTTATCGTTTTACTAAGGAGGACGGCCAGGACAGTGCATTAAAACAGCTATTATTCAGAGTTGCATTTTGATTCAATAAGTGGTACGTTGGTTTTCTTCTAGAATCACTCACATCTGAAGAGCTCTGTTGGCCGCTGTGGTGTTGCAGTGTTTGACCTCAGCAGCCAACTCACTTTAAAGGGAATTCTTGTCACAAACTTGGCAATACCGTCAAATGAAAATTTATATAAACTAATACAATACACAGATGCAGCCTATTGCGTTTACTTTACCCACTGAAACAAGACATAGAGTAATTTGTTCTTTCTGTCTTCCGTGGAGCAGGCCTACTAAGTACTGCTCATACTGGCTTTTTATGTTATGGCTGCAAGAATATGAGTTTTATGCCCACCACTAATTGATATTGTTCTGAGTTTTGGGTCCAATTATTTGTACAAATCGTTTCAATACTAATAGGGCGGTGGCTAATATTTTTTTAAGTATAATTAGTAATATTAGCTTTTTTGTAGGATTTGAAGTGAAGGTGGAAACATGGGAATTAAGTGTTTCTAGATACAGAGAATGACATTGGATAAAGAGAATGAACAAATGAAAGAGTTATAATGTTGTTCTTAATTTTTAAGTTTAAGTTTTTAGGTCACAACGTCCACGTTCATTTAAATAGACCATTGGTGGGGTTTTTTTCTGTTCCACCCAGCCCTTGGACAAACAAGCTAAATGATGTGCGATAATCTTCTCATGTTATCTAGTTTAGTTTGTCTAAACTAAACTAAATAACATATTAAGAATTAAATGGATTTTTGAACAATATTCTAATTCATGGAAATACCATATTGTTAAAAAATCTATTTAATTCTGTTATTCAACTTAAAATGAAAAACTAATATATGACAGACTCAATCTGAATTACATAAATAAATGAACTCATTTCCGAGTTTGACCTGTATAATAATAAAATAATCCTCAATTTGCCTTGTGTTAGCAGCAGTCCCCGTCGGTGGTCGGGGGCCTCATCGAGACCGTGGACCGGGTCATGGAGCACATGGTGAACAGCCTGGAGCCTGGACCCTCCTCTCTGCTGTCCGTGGGTGGGACGTCGTTCGTTGCAGGTCAGTGTCACAATAACTTCTACTCTTTGCAGTTTGTTTGGACGCGCTTCAGAGCCAACATCATGAAACTTTAAGCCTTTACATCATTGGTGTTCTCACTGGGAGGACAAGTGCTCGTTCACTTAGCAACAAACCACCTCCATCTGTCGTCTCCAGGGAGTTGTTGGTTTTTATGCAAGATTTGTTTTTGCAAATTGGGTAGGATTCTGGCTGTGAAGTTTGATTGTTGGCTAATTCATTAGCTAACGCAACAATTTGTTGCAGAGCAAACAAAACATATCAATCACTGTGACAGAAGTTTACAGGATGGAAGACGATGTGTTTTTCCATTTAAAATAATCAACTTTAGATTTCTTGGTCTTGTAATATACTGACCCAAGACCAAGTGCTATGCGAAAGTCATTACAATAACAATCAATCTTCCTGCATGTGACATATCTTGCTCCTGAGCACTGATTACAGATGGAATCCACCTGCTGGGGTTAAGTTATAAAAATACAAACTCTCTGTGTTACATATGGCTACTTGTTTTTATATCTGCTTTAATTTAAACAGACTGGCAACCCAATGAAATTCTGTTCACTGATTGGATAATTTTCTTGAAAATTGTGAACTGTGAATTGTCCCTTGTATTTTTGAGGAAACAGCACTTTAAACTTTTTTTTATTTTACAAACATGATTCGTACATGTTAACATATTATTGGAAGACACATGTAAAAGATGTAATTCAATGTTTTAAAAAAGTCGGGGGGTGAGCGTGAGAAATGCCACCTTATTCACAGAGCACCAGCCCCTCACTGGTCCTCCTGCAGGTGGTGAGTCAGGAGGAAAATGAACCATATTTCACTAAACCACATTTATTTAATTGTTACTATAACTTGATGAAATATTTACCTATTAGAATTAGTCACAAGCAAAAACCTCATGATGGCTGAGTGGGTCGTGCTCAGGGGAAGGCCTCGGAAGAAGGGCCTTCAGTGGCAATGGAAGTAGTGGTCAAATGCAGTGGATACATTTCCCAATGGGGACAGTAAAGTAACTTAAACTTAATCAGCTTAACCTGAAATTACATCCCATCAATTCAAACATTATTCAGTGTTTTAATTTCCTTTAGTCACTTTTTTATGTAAATATGAGTATAAAAGCCAGAAATGATCTCATATATTTACCACCATAATATTATTTTTGTTCTTTGTTAAATACATATATTTGTTAATACGTAAGACAACTGTTTCTAATTTTATTTTATTTTCCACAGATTATTCACTGACAAAATTCCCTCAAAACTACAACCTCCAACATTACCGTTTCCCCGTTCAGGGCAAGAACTACATCTCTGTGCCTGGCGAGGCTTTCTCCGCGCAGTGTGAGTGAATTACAAATGTCTTCTTGTACCTTTTCAATCTTGACTGTTCTGGAGCATTCTCAGCTATGTGCGAACAGTGTGTTTAGCCCTGTGTCTTTTCTGCCAGGGGAAAATTCTACCTACGAGAGGTTTTTATTATTAGGCAGTAATTTACGATGCTTAGATTTAAGACTGTGAGCTCGGACAGTATACAGCAGTGCCATGTTGAAGGCCTTTGTTTAGCTTTATGGGCAGCTGTAAAGACCAGCCATGACTTTAATGTAGGCTCTAACTTTTTTATTCACCGGAAAAAATCAGGGAAAGAGGCTATTCACTCTATTTATCTAAAATCCACTAAACTAAAGAGTCAAAGAAATGATCAAGAACTGATAAGATAAGATAAGATATTCCTTTATTTGTCTCACAGTGGAGAAATTTCAGTGTCAACGTTGCGCACAATACAGTTGAGAAAGAAGGAAATAAGAGCGTTCAGATTGCACACATCAAATTGAGTCTATTATTTAAGATGATAGACTATATAATTAAAATAAGAATAAAATAAAATAAACTCTGGGGTTATAATTGCACTGGTTACAATTGGTTATAATTATAATTAACTGTTGGATACTTTTCACAAAACACTGGCAACATCACGTCAGAGATGTTATTAAGCAACCATGTAATGAACTGTTCCTGAAATATTTTTAGCTTGTCTTATTTTATTGAAATATTTATTTTGTTAGGGCAGTGTGTATTAAATAACAGAAGATTCTGTAAATATACCATATTGTAGCCATGGGCGGATTTTCTTTAATTATAGAAATGTATGTTTGTTTGTATGTCTTTAATCATGTCCACCAAAATAAGTAAACATACATAATAAGAACATGTATGTGTCCCAAAAAAGACATAACCACTTGAAAATTGTCATTTAACATGTAATTCTGTCAAGATTAACACAGCATTATTGTTTTCATATAAAGACTAAAAAAATTGCAGTCACACGTTCCAAATTGCAACTTGTGAAATTGATTTAGCTCGCTGCCCCATTGAAAGTTCTGTTAAATGAACTGTTTATCTAAAAATCTCATCTCTTCATTCAGTTCTTATTACAGGAGTGAGCCTGGATGTCTTATGTGGAGCTTAATAGAAATGGTAAAATGTCAAAAGTATGTGCTCAGCTCAAAACGGCCACAGTTAACCAAAGTACTGAACATACTGAAAGATACAACATGAAAGATATTTTAGAACAAGAACAACTACCTTTGAAGTAAGTCACTCATGTAGAACTTCACTGGCAAAAGTTGACGTGCATAAAAGGCTTAAAATATACAAATAAAACCCAACACTTTTCTTGCCTTAAAACACTTTCAGAATGTTTTATGGCCCTTTTTATTAGAGTGAAAACATATTACACTCTGCATACCTACGGGTTGTTTTATGTCCTAATTAGGCAAAGAGTGGCCGCTTTCATTGCTAATACTTAAAGCCTGATAATTCTCCAGCCCTATGCAAAGAAAACAGGCTGAAGTCATGTTAAAAATGCAGTTTCTGTGCATATCCTTCATAGCGGCACCATAGGATCACAGCTCAAAATCACCTGTTTGAATGGTGAGGTCACAGGTATATTCGGTCTGGTCATGGCACCCCAGTGTGACCAAAGGGCCGTGCTATTAGACTGTCTGTGCCAGCGTCAGGCCGCATGAAGGCGTTAATTAACTTCCCCCGTGAGCGAGCATTTTGGCACATTCCTCCCACATTCCTCGCCTCCTGTTCATGATGCGCTGTGTTTTTTGTTTTTTTTATGCACAGCTCAAACCACCATTGTCGGCCTCTTCTATCACAACATCCACAAGTACTACCGGGAAATCAGTCCGTTCAAAACAAGGTAACAATCACTCAACCACAAAAGCAGAGTGTTGTGTGTATTTAATTGTGGGAAATGTCTGTTGAGTACTGAATATTTTACGGATTCATAAAAACATGTTTGTTTTACTAGAAAGAGTCTTGATAACATACATACTGAGAGCTGATTGGCTAATACTGAAAGCTGATCCAAAGATTTGATGAAGCCCAAAAATGCATACATGTATAAACTAGGGAGAGATTACTGTTATGAGAACTATGAACAAGTTACATGGAATGTATTTTGTTGATATTTTTAGTGGTTTTGAAGTTCAGCACACCAGCTTTAAAGCCATTGTTGTAGTTGTAACCACATATGTCCTGGGGCGAAACTAAAGTGGCCACCATAACCTCAAATCCAGCATTGAGGAACAACTGGAAAAGGACAAAGGACATCTTGTGTGAAAGAGACTTTTAAGGGATTTCAACATGTATTATATTTATGTTCCATTTTCATGCACCCACTAAAAGTTATTTTTTGATTTTTTTCATACACTTATAACCTGCGTCATGCTAGAGGGACGTTTGTCGCCCTTAAAACTTTCATTGCTTGTTCAAGATCTGCATTCATCCATCCATTTTCTTCTGCTTTATCCGTTTGTAGGGTCACGGGGGCAGACAAATAATAATGATTCACAGATTGTAATGGATTGTAATTTATAACTTTAATATTGAAAACAAAATCACATAATCTTTATCATTTACTAAATCTGGGCTCTTGCTTCCTAAAGTTCAGAATGTCCTGGCCCTCGCTCTTATCTGCCTCTCCTATCAGCCATTTCACTCACAGGCTCCCCTGATCCACCCTCCTATTAGCTGTGCCCACGGAAACATGCCCCACCAGAATGTTTATGCAGACAACAAAATAGGGCAAATTTATTTGGTTTCACGCGTGTTACTATAGGGACATCCCACTGAGCAAAAACACAGGTTTTTCTACTAAAAACCCCGGGTTGCCTCTACCACACTGAGCAACATAATCTCATGTCAGAAGGACTTGCCTTTTTGCTGTGGCGTGTTAGGTGGGAACACTACTGCTCCATAGTTATCATTTAGACAGGAAAAAATATGTAGGGGTCAGGTGAAGGAGGTTATAAAACTACACGAACAAGAATGAAGCTCATAACAGGAAGTCACAGACCAGGAAATTGCTTTGGCTCGGTGCATCAGTCAGAAAGAGCGGTAAAGAATAGAGAATAGAGTAAGGCATAATAAAAATCAGCACACACTTCTACAGTATGAAATTTAAAGCAGAATGATTACGATTACAATTACTATAAACAATATTATTATTATTACCATCAAAGTTTGGGCTTTCTACACTTTTCTTTATACAGTTTTCCACCTTTCTGTTGTCCAATATAATGCGGTACCCTGGGTGAACTAATTAAATGTTATGACTTTTATATTTTAGAAGACAACATTTTAAAATCCGCAGTTTGTTTTAATTGTCTCTATTTTAACACGTTCTTATTTTCCCCTTGCCTTTCCTTTCCCACTGTTGTCCCAAGTCGACACAGCGTTTAAACCCGGGTCAAAAAATGCATGTCTTCAGTATTTAAAGGTCTTATAACTGACTGTAACTTCTTCACGCACACATGTTCTCTGTTATCAACCACTGCTCAATTTACAAAGTAGAGTCATATCTGTGTCATCCATATTCCCAGCCGCCACATATCAGAGGACACTGAAAAGAACAATAGCGCTGCTGACGGTGGAAGTCCTCACTAAAAACCACCGCTGCTACACTGTGGCTCATGTGCTAAACTTGCGCGTAGGGTGTGGGTGTCAAACATATTAGCATTATTTGTGTGCCAGTAAAAGCTGCGCAGGGATTCTTGCTGGCGATGATTCACTTGTATCATTTTAATGTTTGCTAAAATTGTCATAGCACACACAAGTTATGTGAGAATATCTTTTGGTTCTCGTAAAGTGCGGACGCTTGAATTGCAACATCATTTTTTGTTAAATTCATCTGACCTTTTCAACAATATAATAATCAAAGCCTTGAACAACTGACTGAGAAAAACACAGTATCTTATCTTTAGTAACTAATGTATTGAGTGGTTATGCTTCAATTCAGTAAAGAAAGAGAGAAAGAGCAACATTTTGTGATTAAACATAATTTTACTGTCTTCATCTAATTAACTTTTTTATTTTCATTTAGTTGTGTGTGACAATATGAGCTGAGTGAATGGGGGTCAACTCTATTCATTACTTTTGTGTCTGAAAAAGCTGATGAAAAGTTCTGAAAGGAAAAACAATACAACTACTGCTTAGACGGATTGGATTTATTAGTTTTGATTGTGTTTTGAAAAGCTTTGATTGTTACTTTATGTTCTAAGTTGTTGAGCATTATATTGATTTGCATGTACAGTATGTTCGGCGCGTGTACCTTCCGTTGAGTTTGTTTTTCGATGTGCACGTCAGAAACGAAAATAGACTGAACGGAAGGTACACGGACCATATCCATAAGGTAATTGCATATTTTATTTGATTTTATTTAGGATCAATGAAGCCTCAGATTTCAAAGACCATAAGATCCAGGTTGCAAGTAACTTGATCTCTCTAAAAGTGGAACCATCTCCGGCCTTGTCCATCAACCTGTCTGGGACCCCACTCATCAAAATCGTGCTCACCCACACTCTGGTAAGAACTGACATTCATAATAAAACACTGGTGCTTGCAGCTAGTAATTTTTAATTTGGAAAAAAACCAAACAAATTCAACTCTTCCCTCTGGTGGTATAGCATTGGGAGTCACAGGTGGAAAGCATGTTTTCCCCTTCATGCTTAATTTTTAACTATTATTATTTTCCAACAATTGTAAAACGCTTTGGGACTCTGGTCTGTGAAAGGCACTATACAAAAAAAGATTTCTTACCTATTTCACATTCTAATACATTCACGGACAAAGTAAATAGTCTCATTATCATTCTGAATGGCTGAAATAAACGCATAATAGTTTTTCTTAAACATTTTACCACAGTGGATTACAGACAGAAAGCTAATTTAATGCCTTTTATCATTCACTCCTGTTAGGAATGATGCTTCTTATTTGACAAGACCGGTTTTATTATATACAAAATGTAGCATTACCTATTTCAGTGAATCTAAATCATTTGTTATGTGAGAAACGAAGCCGATCCAAACATACACATCCCTGACTTTTCACCCATCACTTTATTCTTAGTGCGATGGCATGCAAGTGCAGCCACCACACTGTAAGGGCGTGAGAGAGCAGAGCAGCCTTATCAAAGGGAAGCAGGGAACAATTTGCTTGTGGGTCTTGTAGTTGTACAGTCCATATACGAAATCTGACAGCTTCTATTTTGGTGGCCATCCCTGGGTATCACTGTCCATGCGCCTACACAGCTGGGTTCTCACAGGCTGAACACAAACGCTTTGGTTTGCATTAGCTTTTGTGGAGCATGTGGCCACCAGAACGCAAACTGATTATGGACTTTGAACAGCTCTTTAGGCTTGAGGGGCAGGCAGTTTGTAAGGAACAACAATGTGCTATTATGAGCAAAATCTTCCCTTTTTTCCATTGCTGACAGGGGCCGAGCCAGTTTTCCATGGGAACTCCTTTAATATGAATTAAGTCTGAAATCTGTCCTGCATTTGTTGTTTCTTTTAAGTCACTATTGTGTGCAAGCTTGTGACAGCCATGTGCTTTCAGCAAGTGCACAACAACAAAAAACAATGGCCACATATATTCAGTCCATCTGTGGAAATTAAAATAAATCTTTAACTTTGAACCCATGGCAATATATATTTATTTTATCTTCTTTTACAAGAAGGAAAAGCTGCAATAATTGGGCTGGAGTCTGTAATTGATGTACTTTTAATATAGCCCACGTAACAGGAAAGATTTTCTAGCTTTACGGGATTACCAGGTACTTTAGGTGAAGCTGTTTTGTTTGAACCTTGTATATCCTTTGGCATTGTTCTCAAAATACTGTACTGGGTAAAATAAGGTAAGAATGTATGTAATTACAATGGTTCTGTAATGGCTGAAGAATTGTTGGCATGGTCCATACAGACACGAAAGCAGTCATCTGTAAAACTCCCTAATTTGACCCATTTTAGTTATTGAAGGAGAAAACTGCACGCTGAAGAACAATAAGTGCATTATTTAAATCATGGAAGGAACATTTTTGACTAGATATATGCACTAGATTATTGTATCAACAATGTATCAAGTTTATTTACATTTTCAACTACATTTTTGATAAACCCTTGGCATATTGTGTCGTCTTAATTCTTACTAAAATTCTTTTGATACTCATCCGAAATGTCCTAAAATCAGTACAATATTCAATGTCACACAAGCAAATAAAGGTTTCCTAGTGAAATTTATTGAGAGTAATAGTCAGAAGTGTGACTGTACAATTGTCGTTGCCATTTTGCTGCCATTTGTTGCCATAATCAAATGTGCAATGGTAGTTTTTTGTTTTACTTTTTTCCCTCATTATTTTGCAAAAGCATAACGAAATTGTTTCATTTGCCAAAGCATATGCCCAATTTTTCTGCATAACTTAATTAAAGTCATAGGAGTTCTTGGCGGTCGCTCTCAAAACCTGTTGTTGGTCAAATCCAGACTATTTTGGGAATTCTAATGACTTTGGCCGCTGGTGTACACTTATCACCTCCTTCAAATGGAGCCAGGGAGTTCAGTACATGCAGTCCATATGAGGCAGACCTTTTCTGTCATTGTTTATGTTGCTTTTTAGTGGCTGCACAAAAGTGGGTTTAAAAGTGTCACCCCTGCCCCCAGTGGTGTGCTGATTTGCAACTGTTCTGTCAAGTTGACTTCATTAAAAGAGAGCGATTGCCGTTTGTGGCAGGACGTCCTGTCTACAGTGACTGCATTCGCTACAGATAATAATTCTATTGTCTATTAACAAGGGAAAGGGAAGCGAATGATTTAATAGAACCTCCCAAAAACATTTAGAGTTAGAGTAAAGGTGCATTATGCAACTTCTTATGTGGAAAAAAAAACAGTTTGTATTTTTTTGCGTATCTGACCTTGTAGAAGACCAGTGGTTGTATGTGTGGCCATAATGGAACTTTTGATCACGGTTGTGTCTACAGAGCTCCAGGATGAATTATTTTGTAGATTTTCAGCTGAGAATGTCCCGAAGTAAAGAAAACCTACAGTTGATCCTATAGCATCCAGAGACTACTGTGATGGAAATTATAGGCACCATACTAACCACGCATAAAGCCACTGGGTGCAAATGTGAAAATGTGTATATTTTTTTTCACATTAAAAACTTGCACCTGCAGTACCTAACTTTTTTGTTTGTTTATTTTGTTTATTACTACAGTTGTATCAGTAACATTTTGTGAAGAAATCAGACCGCAACACGGTGTACTTTTTTATCATGGGGTCTTGAGTTGAGTGTGAAAACTATAGAACCAAACAGTTGCAGAATTAGTTACATGGATTACTTACATAGTTCATCTTTTGTGGTTTTAAGATACTTCAGCTTTGAAACAGAACATGGCATGATGATTTGAATGAAAAGGTGATAAGCCTGAGCTGTTTTCTTAAAATTCAGATAAAAATGTTATTCAATTGTGCTGATACAAGACGATACGACAAGAGAAACAATGTAATCGAGTAGAATAAATATAGCAAAGGGAAATTCTTGTGTCCTTCAGTGACTTATGGGAAAAAAATGGTCATCTATCTATTTTTCTTTTTTTAACTCTTGCCAATCAAATACATTTTTATTAAAGGAAAAGCGGATAGGCTTACACACCGAGCTTTTGAACCTGTCCCACAATAAATAGTTTTCCATCATGTGCTTATTACCCTTGATGCTTTGCTCGAATGCCATGTTGCCATGGATCTATTAACTGGATAGGGTTTTACTAGCTTGTAGCTGAACAACTCACGTGCTCCGGGGATTCTCGCGGTACTGCAGACTGAACCAGACTAAATTCACGTGAGCTACCCAGAAATTTTCCCCATAGAACTCAATGCATATTAAAACAGCTCGACCTCAGCTGACAGAGAACCTACAGCTTTAATAAAGATAGTATTTTGTGGGGATTTTAGTGTCCCTTGTCATCCTGAACTTTTTTTCTTCTTAAATCCTTCGGTTGTGTTTAAATCCACACTTTAGTGCCACAAACTCTACTCCTCTGGCTCTCGCTCTAACTCCCGCTCTGATGAACTGCTCTGATTGGTCAGAGCGCGGCCGAGCCCCTCTGTGCACGTGCGTGAGACCCGGTGTGAGACCCGCACACGCGTGTTTGACGCAATGCATTATGGGAGATCATCCACTGCGCAGAACCGGGAGGACCAGACGATGCCCAAATACAGGCGAGTTTCCCATAGATCTTTGCGAGTTTCCCAAAGTTCTTTGCGAGTTTCCCATAGATCTTTGCGAGTTTCAGGCAACTTCCGCTAATCTTTTCAGCCCCCATGCCGTCACAAAGCGCCACTGAGCACAACCATTCATTTGAATAGGGCGCCATCTTGGATCGCCGGGGCTTGCATGTTGCTTATATTGCGCGTGCTTATATTGCACGTATCATTTGTCACTGATAATTTGTCACGGATCATCTGTACCCATGTCATCTAAAGCCACGAATTTGGCCGACGCTGACCGCGTTAAGTATATTGATACTGTGAGTAATCTGTGAGGCAAGATCCGTTGAGAATCGGGAGATTTGGATCCATATGAAAGCCGGCGAGACCAGTGGACTTCCCAGAAGTAGAAGTAGAAGAACAGTTTTATAATTAAAAAAAACTTCATGATGTATATGATACAATATTTCTTTCAATCAATATTTTATTTTGAACGAAGCAGTTGATATCACAGGCCACAACCCTTTCCCCCTCCTCCTCCTCCTCCCCCTCTCATTCATTTAGCTAGCTCTTACCTGTTATGAAATGGTCAGAATAGACCTTATAGTGCCGTTTTTTCTTCGTCGAGAGCAGTGTTGCCAACTTAGCGACTTTGTCGCTAGATTTAGTGACTTTTCAGACCCTATAGCAACTTTTTTTCAAAAAAGCGACTAGCGACAGATCTAGACAAAGCATTAAAATCATTAAATGTTGTTAATGTTGAAATTACATTTGTAGTTCTAAACATATTTAGGGTGTTTTTTACTCACTTTTGTCTCTCCCACGACGTTATTCCTCTCTCCTACAGCGTCCGTTACAGTTATTTGCAAATTGCCAATTATGCAAATTAGGCGATGACGTCATTTAGCGACTTCTAGCGACTTTTGGGACAGCCAATAGCTACTTTCCTTACTGAGGAGTTGGCAACACTGGTCGAGAGTCGCTCCCCTGTCTCGTAATAGCCTTCGAAATGTCCCCACAATCTACGTGGTTACTGCACCCCAAAAGATGCAGGCAGTCGGCATGTTTGAGCGTGTAAAAGTGATTTGGCCCGATTTGTTTACCTACAGCTAGCAGCGGCTAGACTAGCAAAAGGGCGAACTGCGGAACTGTGGGTAGTGTGTGACGTTGGTGGAAAACTATCTATTTTGAGACAAAGTTATTATTCTTGGCCTGTTTCAATAAGGATACACGCTAATTTTTAACAGCCTTTTTCCACACCTAACAAATCACAGCACAGTACGATACTTTTCTCATCTATCCTGCTCCATGACACCTGTCTTCAG